ATAATTGTGCATATATGTATGTGTAACAAGAATAATAAGAAAGAGGCCATGAATTTGAGAAGGACTAACAGAGTACAGGAAGTTTTGGAGGGGGGAATGATATGAGAAAGGTCAGAAGGACAAAAGGGAAAGAGGGAAGTGATGTAATTATATTTCAATTAAAATTTTTAATAAAATAAAGAAAAAATTAATAAAAAGATATCTTACCATATTTTCTTTTGAACAGTAAATTGTTAAACCATTTATTTTAGATCTAGTAAACATCTGGGTTTGTTTTCTTTCATTTCCTGATTTCATTTTTACATAATATCAAATCAGAATAAATATATATTTCTTTTTCCTACCTAAGAACATCACTCAATTCAGTACCACTATTGACAGGACTATCATTTCCTTACAAGCTATTTTTTTTTGGTAATTGTTTACGAAATACAATCTTTCTGTTCTTTTGCTTTCAACATTTCTGACTTTTTCTCTCTTTAATGGCTATTCCTAAAATGTAACATATACCCTTGACTTATTATGTAGTTGAAAACAAATATTTATTAGTCTTCTAATCCTGTTTGTGTATGTCTTAATTTATTTCTGTAATGTAATTAAATTTTCCATACAAAGATTTTTGCATATTCTTGTCAGAAATATGGGGCACTTCATGTATATTGATATTATTATAGATTATATTGAGAATTCTTTTCAAAACTGGTCTTCAAGCAGTGATAAATGTCAGAATAGCTGATTGTGTAATAGGTCCAAGGACACACCTCCCCATAAGTTTTGCAAATAATCATTGAATTACCTTGAACACTCCAGAGTTTTGTGTTGAAAGAAATCAATGTGATCTGGGTGGTGGTGGTGGCGCACACCTTTAATCACAGCATTGGGGAGGCAGAGGCAGGCGGATCTCTGAATTTGAGGGCAGCCTCTTCTATAGAGCAAGTTCCAGAACAGCCAGGGCTACACAGAGAAATTTGTCTTAAAAAAAAGAAATCAATCAATCAATCAATCAATCAATGCAAGATACTAGTGTATCAATATATATTACAATATTGTTCACAATAGCAGTTGTGGAACCAACTTAGATGTCCATCAATACAGGAATGGATAAATAGAATATGGTATAAAAACACAATGGAATTTTTTCAACCATACAGAAGAATAAATTATGTTATTTACAGGAAAATGGTTACAACTGAAGATACTGGTATGAAATAAAGTAAGCCATACTCAGACAAATATTACTTCCTCATTTTCAGAGTCTAGATTTTATAGATAAAATTGTATGTATTTAAAGTTATATTTATGCATAAAAGCATATGTGCATGTATGACATGAAGTAGAAATGAAGCTGCCTAGGAGAAAGAAGGATGCTATGAAGAAGAGGGCAGGGTCGGGAAGGGACATGGTCAAGTATAGGAGATACGTACCCTGCGGAACCTAGTACTATATCAACCAATTTTTAGATAAAGAAGCCAATACGTTACAAAGCAGAGATCCAGGTTTACCTGGGTTCAAGCAGAATGAGCCAAAGTTTTGAGAACAGCTGGTCTTTTTAGTCAGTTGTGGAAACCATAGGAACACTGAAGAAAACTTCTACGGTATTTTCCTTGACTCTGTAAATAGGGTTGATGATGGCAGGTTCAAACAACATCTCCAAGATGTCACCTCACAACCTGGCATTGAAAAAACCAAAAAGCTCTTTTAAGGCAAAGTGTAGCATTTGTCTGTGAGTATGAACAGAAGAATTTAGAAAGCATTTGAGGGCTGTGTTAATTCAGCTACACACTAAGAGTAAGTTCCTCCCTAGGTCATAAGATGCTCCTCCCTTAGTCATGGATATTTTTAACTGGGTTTACAGTACCGGGTATGAATTCCCTCCCATGAAATGGGCCTCAGATTCAATCAGTGGCTGTTGGCTACACCATAACAGTCATGCCACCAGTGGGCACATCTTGCATGGTAGGGTGACATTACAGGTCATTGGGTTCATAGTTCACTAAGACTGAAGAGTCCTTTTCTTCCCAGTTGTAGGTACAGTATCCTCTGGAACCACCAAAACCAGCTAACAGGAAGGATGCTTCCTGTTTTGTTCCAGCTTAATTTCTCTACATCTTGTAATGAAAATGTGTAGTCCTTGGTTTTTATTTAAAGCCGCAAGCTGCAGGAATAGAGACCAGTTCCCAGTGGCCAACCTGAGGTAGCCAAGAGATGCAGCCCACAGATCAAAGGTTGCTAAGTAACAGCTTCTCCCTTCTGTGGCTCATGTGTCTACCAGCAATGTCTACCTACACCTATTAATTATAAGAGGATTCACTCACTGCAGATGCACACAGTGATCAATTAGTCAGTCACTAAGATAAAATTATGACACATTCAGTGGTCTGAATAAATCCAGATATTATGTTAAGTGAAATAAGACAGGCACAGAGAGATGAGAAACCATGTCTCACTAGTATTTGGAGGCATATTGTTATGTTGCTTTCATGGAGTTAAGGAACTAAGCAACAGACAACAGCACTTGGAGAACTGGGGCAGGTCAAAGGTGATTAATGAGTACAGAAGAGCAGTTGGACAGAAAGAATCATTTCTAATGCTTGACTATACAGAAGGGTAACTATGGTTGCAAACCATAATTTATTTAATTTTTGTAATCCTCAGTAATTAATTTATTGAGGATTACAAAACAGCCAACAAATTTAGAATGTTCTGGGCACAAGGAAACAAGGTAAGACATGTGCCGATTACTCTTACCTGATCATGGAAATACCATGTGGATATCCTAAAATATCACATTGTACTCTGTAATGCATACAATTATTATATGTCAAATACAGAGAGAGAGAGAGAGAGAGAGAGAGAGAGAGAGAGAGAGAGAGAAGGATCAGGTAGGTTTTAAATGCCAGGAGATAGATGACTTTCCCTTTATCTTTGTAGAGAAGTAGGGATTGCATTTCCCTCTTTAAGAAGGCTGGACCAGCAAAGAAAATACTCTGCTGATAAAAACACCACTGGCTGGTGCCCATATACCCATGTGTTGAAATATTAACCTTACATTTGTTCATTTCTACTCTAATTGTTTGCTTATCAGGACAAAATCAAATTAAAATATAATGAAAATAATTATCATATGCATGGGGGACAGGTGAAGGTGAGATCCACTCTCTTTTGCAAATCTTCCTTCTATACCTTCTCCATAAGTCTGACAAAACCAAGAGGCAGGGACCAGTTCCTTATGATCATGTGTTTTGGTACATTGCTCTGGCCTCAATATACACATCACATGTAGAAAATCTAAGTCTGGACTTTGACCTCAAATAAATAGAAAATTTTCAAGCTGAGATCTGAGAAATCCTTAGGGAAATAGAGTAAAAAGTCTCAGCAGAGGACAGTCTGCACTACCTATCACCCCAGACAGAAAACATAGTGTTCCACCAATAACTCTTGTTCTCAAAAGTGACCAATTAGACATCTCTAGGGAGCCCAGCTGTGTATAACATTTCTTTCTTATTCCTTCCACTCATAACAAGCTCTGAGAGCACCCTGTTCCCTGGATGGAGACATCAGGCTAGTGACCAAATTCTTATGGGGAAATCATCAAAGACATATTAGACCTATGTTTTGGGAGATTTTTGTTCTTGGTATAACTGAACACAAATGATTCTGCCCTTAGATATGTGGGATTACCAAGGAGAAAGCTATGCAGCAGAAAGGTCAGTTACACACCCAAGAGGCGAGCAGTGTACCAGAATATTCCTTAGGCTACTCCTCAGACCCTGGAGCATGAAGGAGATCCAGGTAAGCAGTACATTCAGGTCCTGGCCACGACAGTGTGAGTCAGACACATATCACACCCTGATATTAGCAACTTGGCACTCAATGAGATGGAAGAGAGAATGATAAAGTTGTGGATCACTATTATGAGTGAAGGGGATAGTGCCGTGTTTCTGACACTTTCTTCCTAGTCAATTAATGCTTTGAAAGGCTGCCACTGGCATCTTCTTACATTCTAGGATGGAGCTCAGAAGGACAAGGTTAAGTATTTGATTTACCCTGTAACAGTGGGGTCTCTAGTGCCTGGTCATCTCAGTGTCCTTCTGTTAGGTGGTCGTGCTGAAACAGATCTAGTCTAAGAACCACACTGTCCTTAGGTCCACCATATGTCATTACTATTACCTGAAGGATGAGAAAGTGGGGTCAATACAGTATATCTATCACATATGTTTGAAAGAGTTGGACATTTTGTGGGGAAATCATCAAAGATACATTAGACCCGTGTTTTTGCAGAATTTTGTTCTTGGTATAACTGAACACAAATGATTTTGCACTCAGTTATGATGTAGGATTACAAAGGAGAAAGGTAAGCAGCTGAAAGGTCAGATATAAAGGTCTCTCCATTCAGATATTTGCCACCAACCCTGATGACCCATAAGGTGCAAGAAAAAACTGACTCCTGCAAGTTGTCCTCTTCTCTCTACATACATGGCCCGACACATGTACAGTTATAGTAGCAGTAAATAAATACAAATGCAATATGTTAAAAATACTTTGGAATAATATTGAGAAACAGCAGGAGTTTGAAATCCAGTAAGAGTCCAATCTTCAGTATCTCTGTTATATGTCCAACCTCTCTGAGACGCTGAAAGTTTTGATCTCTCCTCCTGGTGAAGCAGGGGTGGCAAGAACCTAATACTTAGGATATTATGGGGACAGAGAGGAATACTGGCTCCAGGTGGCCAGTGCAGTAGCATAAGTGGTGATGGTGATGGTTATAATGGTCATAGTAATGATGGCCGAACCAAAGAGTAAGTAACATGCCAATAATTATGATACCATAGTTAAACTTAGGAACACACAGGTTTATGTCAAGAGAAATGAGAATAACATGTTTCATCATATTTTAACCTTCGTGCACTTTGAACAGGCTGCTGAATGACCTGGTCATGTGCACCGTGAGAACATCTCTGCTCCCTGTGGTCTCTTCACCGTAAGTTAAAACAGTGGAAATGGGGAATGGGACAACTGTCCAGGACTTTATCCTGGAGGGATTTCCTGCTGTCCAGCACCTGGGGATCCTCCTCTTCTCGGTGCACCTGCTGGCATACCTGGCCTCCATCACAGGAAATGTAGTCATCGTCTCCATTGTCTGCACCAATGCCCGTCTGAAAACCCCCATGTACTTCTTCCTCGGCATTTTCTCCTTCGCTGAGTGTTGTTTTACCAGTACTGTAATCCCTAAGTTGTTGGCTATATTTCTCTTAGGGAAACAAACAGTTTCCTTTGTCGCCTGTTTCATACAAGCTTTCGTCTTTGTATTTATCGGGGCATTTGGTTTTCTTCTCATAGCTCTGATGTCGGTGGACAGGTGTGTGGCTATCTGCAGGCCTCTTCATTACCCCACCATCATGAACCCGAGGACCTGCACCCTCCTAATCATGGCCTGCCTTACTATGACCTTCACCCTTATCACTTGGGTAGTAGTGAAGGTATCCCAGTTATCCTTCTGTGGCCCCCGTGTCATCCCACACTTCTTCTGTGACCTTGGCCCTCTGATCCGCCTCTCCTGCTCCGACACCAGCTCTGTGGAAGCTCTGACTTTTGGTCTTGCTTTGCTTCTCCTCCTCTCATCCCTCACTGTAACCATCACTTCATACAGCAGCATAGTCGTCACGATCGTGCGTCTCCCATCAGCCAAGGAGAGACAGAAGGCTTTCTCCACCTGCTCCTCTCACCTCATCGTCCTCTCGCTGATGTACGGCAGCTCTATATTTATATACGTGAAACCAAAGCAAACAAGCAGGCTGGAATCCAACAGAGAGGCTGCTCTCATGAATACAGTGGTGACACCACTTCTGAACCCTGTCATCTACACCCTACGCAACAAGCAGGTCCACCAGGCTCTGAGAGAGACTGTGTGCAGAATAAAAATATCAAGATAAGAAAACATTATGTGTTCTTGGGGTGGAAATAATCAGAATTTTCCCCCCAATTTAGCAAGTGCACAAGCCTTAGCATTTCAGAACCACAGAGTTCACATGCCTTTTGTGTAAATATCCCCATAAAATGCAGGTGTTTGTTAGCTCATGCATACACTTTAATGCAGTGTGTGTGCCTAATCCACCCTCCTTATTCCACATATTTCTGGCAATAGATTTTTGTTTGTTTGTTTTTCAAGGCAGGTTTTCTCTGTGTAGTCCTAGCTGTCCTGGAACTTGCTCTGTAGACCAGATTGGTCTCAAACTCACAGAGATCCGCCTGCCTCTGCCTCCTGGGTGCTGAAATTTAAGGCATGCATCACCACCACCCAGCCTGGCAATAGACTTTGATTGCAAAATCTATTGAACTTTTTCATTCAAGTGATAGGAACTGTGTGCTTGAATTTCTGAAATGTATTGAACTATACCATTTTAATTGTGCTTTCAATTCATTAGTACTTTTATCAGAAATAATAATTATTTACCAACGATGGTAAAATTACTAAAACAATTAGTGATTTTATTTGAATTGAAGCTTTGAAAATATTAGTGAAAATTGCCAATGCTTAGCCCTATTCCCTCCATGAATAGTTGAAGGAAACATGATCACAGAATCCTTTACCTTGTAAAATATGTGTCATAGTGTACATCATCTCTATTTCTCTTATAATTTGGCTCAACTGTACATGAATGCCTCATTTCAATGCTAAACTGAAATACACTATTTGGGGTCTCAGTTCATTCTCTAAAATATCAAAATGGCTACTTCCACACCTGGCTATATTTTATTACTTATTTATTTGTTATTGATTTCTATTATGAACCTGTTACTAAGAAAAAAATGTGTATAAGTTGGCTGAAAGGGGTCATACTTAAAACTCATTTATAGGAGTTTCTTCAGATTCAGGGGTATAGAATATAAGTTATTTACCTGCTTTGAGTTATTAATTAAAATAATTTAAACTAATTGGAGATTGTTTTTCCTGGTATAATTGTGTTTGCAATTACAGTTACCTTCTAATTGACAACCTACTATAAACCCTGTTGCTCAGTTTTTAACTTTGCATTTAGTCCCAGTTTCTAGGATTTAATAGGTCTGTCTTATCTTCAGAAGAAATACCTCTGAAAAGATTATGATTTATTATTATTTGTTTTGAAATAAGATCTAACTATTGTGGGAGCCCAAATTACTCAGGGCCAGAGAACCTGAACTTGCTTTACTCAGCAGGGCTGCATAAGGAGATGATTTGGCCATGGGCATGTTTACCAGGTATTTGGAAGGGTCTACACTTGGCTCTCTGGTGTGCTTTGATCTTGCAAGGGGGAGATCTTTTGTCTCTCCCCTTGGCATATTATAAAAATCCCTTTTGAATAAATCTCTGGGCGGCTGGGTTTAGACCCAGTGCCCTCCTGAAGTTATCCTATGTCTGTCTTTCTTATTGTTTCCTTTTATCTTTCTATATATCATTTCCTCATTCCTCTCTCCTCCACCCAAGAACCCTTTGAGAGGTAGGAGCAAGTGGGAGCTGGATTTCTACAGTCTCCCACACACTATGTGGTAGGTTTGGACTTTCACTCCTGATTCTTCTGCTTTAGACACCTGAGTCAGGTGATAACAGAAATGGGATACCTCACCCAGATCTTATCTTTTAGCTGAACTAAATCATTTTACAACCACAAATAAAATTTTATGAAATTCCTTTAGGTTCATGATTGGCCTTTAAAGCCATAATTCAAAGTTCATATTTCACCCCAAACTCACAGGCACAGCCCAAACTCACAACTCCAGCTGCATAGCTCCTGCACTGGCTTTGCAAAACTAAGCCTTCCCACACCATGTTCATGCTCCCAGACCTGTCTCTGAACATACAAACCCTGTACTGCTTTGCCTGGTGAGTCCCCTCAAAACCGAGCCTACCTGCCATCTCCACAATCTCAGGTCTGGCTCTGGCTCTGGCTCAGCTCACACACCAGTGCTACCAGGTGACCTCCCTGGACCCTAGACTACTCATGTCCCATCTCCACACCGGCAGGTCTAGACCCAATCTAGCAGGTCCTATAGTAGTTTTACATGGCCTAACTCCAGCCATGTGGCTCCTGTGGTAGGCTAGATGCATACCTCAGACTCATGGCCAATGAAAGAAGTTCACATGCCTAGGTCATATCACAAAAATATGACAGGACAAGACAGTGTGCCCTACCTCAAACCAACCAGCTCTATAAGAATGTTCTCCAATGAGAATGACGTAGATGAACCCCAGAACACAGAGTTTAAAAAAAATCATAAATTCCATGGAAGAATTCAAGGACTTTAAAGAAGACACACAAAAATAGTACAATCACATTAAAGAGAATAAACAATAAATGCCTGAATATACTCAAGAAATCATAAATACAATGCTGAATGAGACAATACAGGATTTGAGAGCTGAACTCAATAAAGAGATAAAAATTGAAGAGAATTCAATCTGAAATTAAGATGGAATTGAAAAACTTAACAGCCCAATTTAAAAACCTTGGGGGAAAGCCCTAGAGATGGACTTGGTAAGTAGGTGACAGAATATCATGACTTAGAAGTAAAGCAGAGGAATTGGACAACTCGAGCAAAGAATATGACAATTTTTTTAAATTGTCATATTACAATGTTACAGGAACACACAAGCATGTTAGAGGAATACACAAGAACTATGTGACATTATGAAAAGACCAGGTCTTTGAATTGTAGGCATGGATGAAAGAGAAGAATCCCAGGACAATGACAGACCAGATTGTAAACAAGATTATAGACGAAAATGTTCCCAAATAAAGGAAAGACACGCCCATAAAATACAAAAAGCACACAGAATACCAAATAGATACAACTGAAAAGAAACTCCTCGTTGCATATTTGAAACACTGAATATACAAAACCAACAGAGGATAATGAAAATTCTAGAGAAAAACCACAAACTACATGAAAAGGAAACCCATCAGAATAACAGCTGATTTCTCTATAGAAACTTAAAATCCAGAGGAATCTTGAATGAGTTCTAATCTGAGTTCTTAAAAAAAAAAAAAGATGCCAATCTAGACTATTATACCCAGCAAAACTGTCTGCCATAGTTGAAGGAGAAAGAAAATCTTTCCATGATACAAACAGGCCACAAGAATGCATGTCCATCAAAGCAGCCCTACAGAGAATATTGGAAGCAACACTTCAGACTGAAGAGAAGGAGAAGCATAGCCAAGACACTACAAAAAGCAAAGAAATGAAGCTACAATTCCCACAAACATGAAGAGTAATCAAACAATAATGCAATCATCATACACCCTTCAGTAACTTTAAATGTTAGTCTTAACTCGCCTATCAAAAGACACACACACATTAGCTCAACAACAGAAATAAAATTCATCTTTCTGTTTGTCTACAAGAAACTCCTCTTAGCTTTAATGACAGGCTTCACCTTACACTAATAACAAGAAAATGAGATCTGGGAGCAAGTATTTGTAGATATCCTAGCATCTGAGAAAATAGACTTCAAACTAAAACTAATTGGAAGAAATAAAGGGCACTTTATTCTAATCAAGCAAACAATTAACCAAGGAGACATTGCAATTCTAAACATATATGTACCAAACTCTGGTACACCCAATGTCATAAAAAAGCATACTATGAGACTTAAAGATTTAGATAAAATCCAACTCAGTTACAATAGATGTCTTAGTTTGGATTTCTTCCCTCCCACCCTACCCCCTGGCTCCCGCCAAAGGGATAAAAAATTATTATTTTTTTCTTTTTTCTTTAATTATTTTTCATTTTTACATACCAACCACAGTTCCTTCTCCTTGCCCTTCTCCTTCTCCCCTCCCACTTTCCCTCACCTCATCCTCCACCCACTCCTCAGAGCGGGTAAGGCCTCCCTTGGAAAGCTAAGAAAGTCTGGCATACCAAGTTGAGGCAGGACCAAGCCCCTCCCCCGCCCCCTCCGCATCAAGGCTGAGCAAGGTATACCACCACAGGGGATGGGCTCCAAAAAGCCAGTTCATGCTCTTGGTCCCACTGCTAGGGGTCCCACAAACAGATTTCTATTGTTGTGAAAAGACATCCTGACCACGACAACTCTTATAAAGAAAACATTTACTTGGGATGGCTTGCTTACAGTTTCAGAGGTTCAGTCCTTTATTATGATGACAGGGAGCATGGTGGCATGCAGGCAGACATGGTGATGGCTACATCTTGACCAGAAGGTGGCAGGAAGTCAACTGACTTACTGGGCAGCATTCTGAGCATAGGAAACCTCCAAGCCTGCCCCACAGTGGCACACTTCCTCCAACAAGGCCACACCTACTCCAACAAAGCCATACCTCTTAATAGTGCCACTCCCTATGAGATTATGGGGGCCAATTCCATTCAAACTACCACAGTAGGTGATTTCAATACCCTACTTTCTCCAGTAGATAGGTTATCTGGGGGAAAAAAAGAAACATCAGAAATAAATGACATCGTGTATCAAATAAAACTACTGAATATGACATTCAAAAACCAAAGAAAATTTATTCTATTCAGCAACCCATGGAAGAATATTTAAAACAGATCATACCCTGGAAAACAAGAGAAACTTAACAAATTCATAAAAATCAAAATAATCCAATATATCCTTTCTGATTACGATGCAACAAAGCTTAAAATCAACAACAGATGAAAGTCTAGAAACTACACAAACTTGTGGAGATTAAGTAATACAGAAATAATTAAGTAATAAGAAATCAACAAAGGAATTTCAAATTTCTTGGTATTAAATGAAAATGACAACAATACATCTGGGACACATTATAAGCAGTCCTACCCAGGGCATTCATAGCTCTAAGAGCCTAGATTTAAACATCAGAAACAGCACAAATAAATGACTTAATGATAGAACTCAAGAATTTGGAAAACTAAGAACAAACCCAACCATAACCCAGCAGACAGGAAGAAACAACAA